GGGGCAGTACCTTGTTGTTACAGGGGGGGCGACGAGGCGCCCCAGGGGGCAGTACCTTGTTGTTACAGGGGATGGCGATGAGGTGCCCCAGGGGGCAGTACCTTGTTGTTACAGGGGATGGCGATGTCCACGTATCTCAGCGGCGAGTCGGTGTTGCAGAGCGCGATGGTGGGGATGTTGACGTAGGAGGCCTCGGTCAGCGGCTGGTGGTCAGCCCGGGGATCGGTCACGATCAGCAGCCGCGGCTCGCGGAATGCCGCCTGGATCTGGTTGGTGAAGGTGCCGGGAGTGAAGCGGCCGGCGAAGGTGGTGGCGCCGGTCGCGGAAGCGAACTTGAGGACTGCGCGCTGGCGAGAGGCAGAGAGAAGAGGGAGTGAGAGTCGCCCCGCGCGCCAGCGCCCCCGGCTGGCCTCGGCCACTATCAGCCTGTGGCTCAGGTCACTATCAAACCCCAGTCATGGGGCCACAGCCCTCATGGTGTTAGCGAAAACCTGGCCGCTTGCTCTCGCACACTTCCGACACCCACAGACCGACCTCGGCCCGGGGCTTTAACAGTGTGCACCCACTCCCACCCCACTCTGAGCCGGACCCCTTCAAGACTGATACAACCCACCCAGAGACTCTCAGCAGCATAACAGAACAGAGCTGCTGGGTCACTCCTCAGCTCTGAGGGACTCTCCAGGGGTGTGCAACAGGAGAGGAAGAGTCGGCTCTGGCCCGGAGCAGCACGCCCACCTGCCCCGTGTTCCTGGAGGAGATGACGCACACGTCAGCGGGGTTTTCAATGGCCACAATGGCTCGGGCAGCCAGCAGCAGCTTCTCCCAGGTCTTTTTCAGGTTGATGATGTAAACACCTGGACAGGCACACAGAGCTCTTTACTGCCAGGCACCGGGGCCCCCTGTCTCCCTACACCCCCGCCCCCCCACACCCCCACCGTCCTCACCATCACTCTTCCTCTTGTAGACGTACTGCTCCATCTGGAAGTCCAGGTTAGTGCCGCCCAGGTGGGTCCCGGCAGCCAGGAACTTCAGCACATCCTCCTCCTTCATCTGCAGCACATCCAGACCTCCGGACATCGTGAGAGCTTCCCTTGGACAAGCAACGACGGGAAAGCTGCAGAAAACAAGAGAAGAGTTACACACTCCTCCTGCACACTACT